CTTCTTCGACAACTCAAGTTCTCCTCCCCCAGTGGAGGTCGATGCCTTTCTGGAGAAGTGCGAGGTAATCATGCATGCTCTGGAGGCGGCCTATGCCCAAGATAGGAGTGAGACACGTCGAGTAGTGAAGCACATCATTGGCACTCTACCACCGCGCATTGCCACCGAGGTCATTAGGGAGATCAAGCAGACAGTGGGCTTGGCCTCGGCTATGTCGAGGAGGATGGCGATGGACTGTGATTGGGAGCTTCTACTACCATTTGTGCCAAGCTTCGACCCTAGGCAAGCGGAGCAGATGTCCGTCAGTGATATCATTCGGGACGTATGCCGTACCATAGAGAGTGCTGATCCGTCATCGCAATCAGCAGATAGGGTCGCTTATGCCGATGAGAAGAAGGCACGGGAAGGGAACTCTCAAGTAGTGACCCAGAAGGATGGCTCCAAAGGAAAGATTCCATTGGACTCGTGGGCGAAGGGATACGCTGTCGTGTACGTGATCCGGTCACAGTCATCGGAGAAGAGGCTCGACTCGGAGGCGATAAAACGGGAGCTCGATCCAGACATTATCAAGTTCATTCGGGGCAAGAAGCAACCATTAGCATTGATCGGGTACACGGAAGTGACGAAGGGAAAGGCAGCGGTGGAGAAGAGCTCAGCCAAGCAGGAGTACTCCATCCGTCCGTTCCAGTTCCGAGCTCGTTCGGGAAACGAGTAAGGCCGACATGTCCAAGGGGGACAATGTCGGCCGGAACTGAAACCCCTTACACACTCAAGTCCGAATCCGAGCTCACGAAGATGTCTGGGTCAGAAGAGCGAAACCAGTCTCAGGAAGAGAGTAAGAAGGCCACGGTTATCAATGAGGTCCTGATAGGGTCCGTCGTTGGACAGATCGGGAGTCCTATCCACGATAAAGTGTGCTCTTTGCAGCTGGAAATTCCTCCTGAGCTGACAGTGGTCTGTGACTTGATTTCGAGTAGTGATCCATCTAAGCGGCAAACGGACGTCACGGCTATTTGTGATCCGGGAGC